AACTCATTGAGCAAGTCCGGTCATAGAAATGCAGGGAGCCCTCCCTCAAACTAGCTACACTGCAGTTGAATTTTAGACTATTACCTCATTGAGCAAGTCCGGTCATAGAAATGCAGGGAGCCCTCCCTCAAACTAGCTACACTGCAGTTGAATTTTAGACTATTAGCTCATTGAGCAAGTCCGGTCATAGAAATACAGGGCACCCTCGAACAAACTAGGTTTTTGGGTTTATTGAGTCACATTTTATATTTGGGTACAAAAATACAGAACCCTCTCCTGAAAGCGCTCAGCTTTTTTTCTTCAGGATCGGAAACGTGACGGTGAACCAAATTCAGAAGTTAAAGATCACATAATAAAAGTTTAGAATTTCGCGTATGTCACATGCTTTATTAAATTACATTGTTATAACATCACATAATACAAAAACTTGAAAAAAATGTGCATAGAAAAATATAGATGAGAAAATATTCCGACACAGTGGACGGCCACGATCCTTGTGGTATCAGAATGAATACAAACCAATATTTGACAGAATCTACATTTCATTACTTTGATTTTATTTATGAATTTATAAATTGATAAAACCATTTATTAAAACCATTAAAATGAAACAGGGTTATTAGGTAAATGTTGTATTTAAGCTATGCATTTATTGCATGAAGCAAGTTTTGATAAAGATGGCATTGGACTTTATCATAAGCAAGGCCCGACGTTTTTTTATTCCTTGTTTCTAGAGTTTTAATAAGGACATTTTTTTGAGGAGGGCGGGAAAAAAAAAAAAATTAATTCTTTTTTCCATTAGATTTGTGTGATTCTCAAAGAATTGTAAATGAAATCATTGATCGGAAGGATGAAATAAAATTTTATTCCATGTATAACCTTGTTTCTCATCTGCGTGAGACTTCGGTACTTTGATCATGATACTTCCACCGTGGCACAAAAATGCAACTTGGGTTTGTTATACGGTGGGCGGGGAAAAAAAGGAAGATAAAAATAAGTTTTTTTTAGAAATTTTTTGCACTTATGAGAAATTACGCCGAAATAATTTTTTTTTTTTCATTTTCGGCTCCTGTTTATTTGGCGGGTTCGCGAAACAAGGGATAATAAAAGTCTGGCCCAATGAATATAAAATATTCAGCAATTACAATATCTTTTTTGAATGTTTGTACCGAAGCAATGTTATTTCACTTGCATGCAGGTTGCCAATAAAAATCCAAATTTATTATAATAATTTACAAATATTTACAATATTTAAATTAAAAAAAAAATTATGTAAATTAAAAACAAAATTCAACTCTTTGGTTGAAGAATGGTATAGACACAGCACTTTAGACAGGTTTCTCATACTGACAAACAGGATTTGTTTTATCAGTTTTGTTTTTATGCCATAGAGGGCAGTCTGTCAAAGAAAATCTTTTATGACAGCATGTTATTATTTCCTGATAAAATCATTCCATTATACTCAAAAATGAAAATTATAGAAATTTACAATAATTTTTACATAAATAGACTAAATAACATTTTCATTCAGTTTCACCTCCCATATAACACCTAATAGAAGAAATCAAAAAAATATTTTAAATGTTTAATTCATTTTTCACTTATTTAAAAAAAAAAAATCTCTTAGTACTGTATTCTAATCTTAACCTGTTAGATTATCAACAGATTTGCATTATTTTAATGGTTGTGATAATTCTACTTTAGATAACAGTTGATCTCTTTCGCTGACTTTCTCCATCAAAACTTCCATCAGCTGTTTGGCAAATGGGACTTTAGAGCTGAGAACCGCTTGCCATCTTCTGTGCCATTCGCTGTCTCTACGATGATCATCCAGTCCTTCCGCGGCCTGCAAATAACCATATTGTTGTAAGTATACAAGAAAGAAATTTAGATGCACAAGAAAAATGTGTTCTCCAGTGTGCTACTCTTTACCGGTATATTCAGCAGTTATAGAGGGCGCTGTAACGAAGCTGGAGCTCAACATTTGTATGAAAATCACACTTTCATCACACCACAAGCTATGGTCGAACATGCACCTCACCAGGAAAAGACTTTCAAGTCTTTCAAAGACTCAATTTGTCATTATTATCAATACATAGAGTATAAAAATACAACATTGCCAAATAAGATGAAGTGACATGAATTTGTGTGAGTCACTGTATCGAGTACTCGGGTCAAATTCACTGCTACAGACTATTGTGTAATTTTCTTCAATTTTTTTGAAAATTTTCTTCAATTTACAACTTACCATTTCTTCGTCAAACGTTCCATCAGTTGAATTCATAAAATCTTCTATGTCTGTTTCGCTCATATTCAGAATAGACGAGGCCAATGAATGCGCTTTACTCATCGAAACACCGGTTGTTAAACCGTTCTTTAATTTCGACTTTTTGGCTTGTTTCACTAGATCTCTTGCGTCATGGACTTGGTTCAACAGTTCACTTGCTAAAAACTAAAAAAAATATCCTGTATTATTAAAAACAAATACTGAATTAGGAATGAGTTTTTTTGTCTAAATAAATCAATGATTTCAATATCAGTTTGTGCTACCAACTGGAATATAGAAGATATTAGTAAATGTACTGAACCATACTACTGTTTAATTAGAAGCTGCATCCCTAATGGAAGTCGCACCCATTTTTTTTTTTAACAATTGAAAAACCAAAAATTCATCATTTCTCATATGTGTAGATGCCCTAATAGAAACCGTATCTCCTCTGTTGCAATATACAATTTTAATAGAAGCCGCAAATTATAATACAGATTTTACACTACTTCAATTTACATTTACTCACTTTAACAAACTGGTTGAGTTCCTGTATTCTGGCGTGAGATTTTTTCAGTTTTCCTTTAATAGTTTCAATAGTCGATTCACTACGGCTAGCTAAACCATGTAATTGTTGTGCAGCAGCTGTCTCCAGTTCTACTGCCGTATTCTCCGCTTCAGTTTTCCGGTTCTGTGCAGATATCAGCTGTTTGGTCTGAAATGAAGCACATGCAAAAAACATTAAAATTAAGTCATTATTTTCAGTGATGGGTTTGTAGACCTTACTGTAAAACTATTGTCAATTCCAGTCATGCAAGTACAATTCATCAGTAATGCAATTAGATGTCTTTGGAATATCAAGTACATGCATTACACTCAATTATAACAACTTTTATTGATGGTTCTGAATAATTTAAATACATAATATAATTAAATATTATTTATTACATAACCATCAGAACATGCATGTATTTGTTGACGTTAGTAAATGTCATTTCAACAAATGTGAAATCACAAAGATTCACCTGTAAGTGATGCAGAATACGTTTTTCAAATATTACCTACAATTCGCAAATATGCATTATTAATTATTATACATCGTAACACAATAAGTTACAGCATGTCGTAATTTTGCGGTATTTTACGAGGTATTTTCATCCTACCATATTAGGAGATGTGAATTCCCCAAATATGGAACAATTAAGCGCATAAGTATCCTCTAATAATAAAAACAAACATGGCAGCCCCCAGGGTTTGATCTGACCCCATACAAAGAAGTCGCTAAATCTGTTCTAAACTTTTTTTGATTTCGACATTCCCATGATGTATCTTTGAGAGGAAAAGATATATAATAATAAGGTTATTACAAGTGTACCGCAAAGTATGCACTCAGACAGTACCCTGCGCGTCGGCCGATACTTCAGCTGTACTGGCTTTATGCATACTTTGCGGTATCCTCAAAATAACCTTAAAATTTCAAACCACAAGTGAAGTTTGGAAATGACTACAAAGCAAATTAAATCGTATGGGTTGTAAAATACTGAAATTCAAATTTTACATAAAAAACTACAAAAGACCTGTTACCTTCTTTTCTAGTTCTGTATTTGCTTTAAAGTACAGCTCCTCATACTGGTGTTTTTCAGTGGTCAGTGCCGTTACTCGTTTTTTCAACGATTCAACGTAAGATTTCTTTTGATCTGTTCCACCAGTCATTGATTTGATTTTATCTTCCAAGTTTTTCTGCCATTAGAAAAAAAAGTAACACATATTATACAAATCATTCTGCATTAAATATTTCACATACTGTAGAATACTTTATTTTCGCTTGGAATTTATTTTTGCTGAAGGGATGATTCGGTGAAAATAAAATCCAGCGAATTTTATTTTTTTTCTTATATTTCACATTAAACTGGTCAAAGATCAGTGAAAATAAATTCCATACAAAACGTCCAAAATACCTTTTCAGCGAAAATAAAGTATTCCACAGTATTTGTAAATGGTTGGGAGTTAGTACATGTGTATAGTTCAAATTAGAACTATTTTCGTTAAGGTCACATTCCTAAATCTTGTCACTAATCTTAATTGTTGTTATCTTCTTCAAACAGTCTTATTTTATATTTAAACCTTGAGTGACAAACTCAGTAAAAATTTGCTGGAAACATCATTTCATTTTTGAATATTTTTGAGCCATGATGTCACTAATTGTTTTATTTGCAAAATTTTGGAACAAAAACAACATGTGGAATCGTTGAACAAATGCAACTGGAGTCAATAGTTCCAAAAACAGTGGTATGAGTCAATGACCTTTCCAAGTTCAATCCCACAAAAGAATTGACCATTTGAGTTCACAAAATATGGAAAAATTTGTACCATGCCATTATCAAACTCATAGCAGACTTTATATTTCATAAAGATTAGTCGAGTGAGTACACTGACTTCTGATCTCCATCATGCTACTTACAATTGTTTCTGCGTTGGTTTTCTTATCCTCTTGTACTGCTTTGACTTTACTTCTCAAATCTTCAATCAAAGTTCTTTTTTGTGTAATATCACGCTCTAATTTATTGATTCTAAAAAGAAGACAAATATATAAAAATAAAAATCCCATTGTAATAATGAACGATTCCAGAGAAGACATCTCATCATTTGAGATCGCATCAGTAACCCTTGTTTCCTTGGTGCAATTCGACTGAGTACTGGATGCATCGGTGTGTACACTAAAGAAATAGTTTGTGAGCACTTCAAGCTTCTTTTTATTTTACTGAATGATAAGTTCAAAAACATTTTGCAAAAAGTTTTCCTTCAGTAAACACACCTCAGGTTTAATTTCTGCTGACACAAAATTTCTAAATACCATATACATGTAAACTTTAGACTTACTTTTCCTGTAACGTTTTGATCTGTTCAGAATGACTCTCATTTTCACTTTTAAATGTTTTAATGACACTAGCTTGTTTGGAAATTTCAGTTGTGGAATTCTGTGATAAAAAAAAATATAGAAAAGTTTAGCAACAACAAAATATGTTCAATTGTTTTCAAGAATAGACCAGCGAGCCTTTTTTTTTCCATCTTTTTTTCGCTAAAATATTTATTAACAGGCATATATCGGTACATGACAGGTGTTATCAATTTGTCAACAGAGGGCGCTGTGCAGTGGTGAAATAAATCAAAAAAAAGATCAACCTGTACTTTTGGTTGTGTGCACACTGACCAAAACATAGATTTTTAGATCAAAACACTTGAGCATAAATTCAATTTCATATTTTTTAAAAATAAAGCTTCGACACTTATTGCACAGCATGCTTTCGAATTTCATGTAAACAAACAATGCTTTCTACATACATGTCGAACATGATATTTGGTGTTATTTAATATAAGATAAATCATCAAAATAATTTGAACCATTTTTGATCATCAACTCACCTTCAGCTTGCTTTCCAGTTGTTTCCATTCAGACTCTGTTCGTTTATTTCCGTTCCCAGATGTTGGTAATTTTCCGTACATGATCTCAGCATCTTGTAATGTCTGTATCTTGGTTTCCAACTGTCTTTCCAATGTCTCCTTAGCTGCCTGGCTGTTATCAAGTTCTTGAGTTAATTTCTGATAAGAAAAATTAGCATAAATGAGATACTGTAAAATGGTTAATTATTCACTGGGTTTTAATTTGGCTTATTTCGCTGACTGGAAAATGCGCTAAATTAAAACCCAGTGAATATGTAAAATTTAGCATAAAATATATTATCTAAATGATAAAACCGTGAATTTAAAACCCACTGAATATGCCTGAAATGGTAAATCAGTGATATTTAAACCCAGTGAAAATTAGTCATTTTACAGTATAATGAAGAACTCACAAAAGTGTTCTCAATACATTCAGGCAGCCAATGCATTGCTTTTGATTCATATTCGCTGGATTTTATTGATGGGGGTGGTGGATTGACAAACATTTCAACGACTGAGGGCAGTATTGCATATTGGATTTTATTTTCACTGAATCATTTCCTTCAGCAAAAATTAATATCAAGCGAAAATAAAGTATTCTACAGTATCTGGTAAGATGAAAACAACAAATGTGCAAAATAGTGCCATCAAAATACACAAATCTAATAGAAAACCACTCAATGTTCCTGGTAAATACAAATGTAATCTACCTTATGGTTTTTAAGAAATTAAAAAATATAAATAAAATTTAAATTGATAATTCTAAATCTACAATTCCATTAGATGAACAATTCTGAGAACGACTACTTTGAGGTATCTGTTTGGAAAATATTAATCTGGAAAACTGTTTTACCGCAAAATAGTGACTCATAAAAGTTACGTTCTCACACGTCTGTTTTTTTGTTGTGCAAATATTAAATAATCTGCTGAATTGTCTGCTTGTGTTCTCACACCGGTGTTTTTGCGCCCTTGAGGAATCATATCACAGAAAGGTCAATAGACCACTTTCCTGGAAGTAGCGAAATTGGGGTGCAAAAATACTCCTGCTTTGTCATGGCGAAAAATATCAACATGTCAGTTTGTTGATAGTCGATAGAAGGGAATTATATTTTTGTGACGTCGATTGGTATACCCAGAATCACAATATCACGCGTGCAAGTTTACTTTAAACCCCAAAACGGCATGTACATGCATGCAAAGCGCTGTATCTTTGACTTCCGGGAAAGTCATCTATAAACAAATGGAAAGGTCAATCGACAAAATGGTGTCCCCTCTGGTAAATGCATTTGCTTTGTTTCTGTTTTTCCGTGTGTTTTTCGCTTGAGAAGAAGACAACGACGAATGATTTATCGAGATTTCGAAAGCAGGAAATCGCCTACTTGTTAGGTCGAACAAGATCGAGAAATGATCGGTTCATGTTCATACTATTTGCGTGTATGAATAACGCAACAATATACATGTGTACTCAACAACCCAAGTGACTCGACAACGCGAAAATAACTGGTGGGAAGAAATAGTGTTACGAACATTGGATAACAGATTAGCTAGAGATTTGGCCGTCGTATTGTGTTCACACGGCACATTGCGTTGTACAAGATCCAGTGTGACAACAGCGTTTAGGATCTGGTCCACCCCTTTTACGATAGTGTAAAAACGCTGACACCACAATGGCGTATTCTGTTCACACACACATTTTAACAACGTTCTCAAATAAAAGACGTTGTGACAACTGCTTATTTCGTCCAGAGAACACTACTATAGTCTAATATTTGAATGGAATTGTTTACCACAAACAACACTCATATTCAATGTCAGCAGTCAGCATACCTACCTGAATGGTTTGTTTACTGATCTTAAGTCTTTGATTAGACACGCTCAGATCCGACTGTAGATGCTCCTTACTTTCCTTCTCGTCATTCAAACTTTTTTGTAGCAAGCCTTAGAATCCCTCAGTACTGTCACCTGAAAATATAAAGAATTTTCAGTCATTATATTGGTTGTTTTTATTTTCTGGTATAATTTTTCTTTCATTCAAATAGAATAAAATAAAACAAGAATACACATGCTGCCTTGCATGATGGGTGTTTCCCTCAAAGGCTAGGCCCACTGCCGAAACAGTGGATTGGTGTCAGGAAGGGCATCCGGCCAATTATCTCATGCTCCAAAAAAACCTTAAATTGCCACTAGTTTAAGGTAAATCCGGCCACCCTCGTCTTCGGGGACCAAATCGGATTTAAAACTCTGGACTACTACTACTACTAAGAATACTGTACCTGTTGTTGGAGACTGCCAAGTCTTTGTTTCAAACTACTCATACTTGGACTTTCCAGTCGATGTGATCTATTGAGTGATTTTCCCAGTTTTGCCAATCCCATGTGAGGTGATGTGGCAATGTCTCGTCTTCTAACTGCAATAGACATAAACTCTAGTAATTATAATATAGTATAAAACTCTTTGATTTTTTGAAAGACAAATTTCTAAGAATTATGATTGTGAACTTCAAGAACAGTGAATTTTTCACTAGGATCTTGAAGACACAAAGTCACCGACCTTTTTTCTCACAAACACAATCAACTTACAAAAGCACAACAAACAATTTATAAATGAGTGAATTAAAATGTAAATTTCATTGTACTACAAAAAACAATAAATTATACAAGATATTTATTTGCCTATGATTTATTCTGAGAGTTTTTTATCAATTCCTTCCACAAGAAGATAAATAAGATAATACAAAATTATTTTCAATATTTGTGGAATGTTGGTAAGTTAGTACAGTAATAGGGTTCATCGGCTTCTTAGGCAGACATACAGTTTATATTAAAGTCTGTGCATCTGTAAAAGCATGTTCACTAATAGTATGTTATTATTTTATCGTAGATAAACTTTTACAGTAAAGGGCGGCAGTCGTCACGCCGCGTCCTGTTCGATATGGGACTCATAGCAACGTATACAACGCATGTAAAATACATTGTTTATTTACATGAAATTCAAACACGCGCTGAGCGACGACCACTGCACTTTAAATGGTAGATACAAATGCATAGGAAATACTGCCTTACCGATAGTAGTATCTATTGTTGTATTATTGGTGTAATCGGTCACACTGTTGTCACCAACGCCAATCACAGTTAAATGATTACATGGTCTCGGAGCTGTGAAATGAACAACACATGGTGTATATGGTGAGTACAGGTATGAATTCCAAGATGTCGTCCAAGAGCCACAGAAAAGATTGATTTTTTTATGGAGCTGTGTTTTAACTTTCAATAAATAATACTAATATCTATCAAAAGTATGTATACTTGTGTGGATGATATCATGGTGTGTGGTCGCAATAGATGATTTCATTGATCGTCTTAGTTCAAATTACTTTCTAATAATGCCAGATTTGGTTATCATGTAAAACTATATGTACTATATGACATAATGACACAGGGTGGAACACGCTGTGAAACCACCTTTCCTAACTACCAGTCAATGTCACCTTTGCAAATTACGTACACTGTGGATTTTGAAACACCAACTGTATTGGAAATCTCAGTAAATGACTTCCCGTTCATAAAATTCTCATACTTTTCTCACTAAACTCCCTGCCAACCCTTTTCGAATATGGTAGCAGCAAGCAAACTTGAGACATATCATATAAGCTGTTTGCATGTGTGGATGGTGTTGTCCATTTCTGCCACACCAAGTCTACAATCAGGACAATGTTTATAAATTTACTAGTAAAGTTAAAAACCAATTATACTGTGTTGACACACGTGCCACAGAGCCGGCTTGACTAATTTGGTAAACAATCCCTATCAGTGATTTGAATTGGTCCTGTGTTCATACATGTATAAAGACTAAACTGAGCTGGCGTTGTTTTTGGCTGCCATGTTCCTTTAAAATACTTGCAATGAATGGAACTCCAGAGCAAGGCTGACATTGAGGGCGCTCTGGCTTATCTTGTTCACATATGTTTCAACGCCAGCCTCCAAACCAGCTTTTTGGCACACATGTGAACACGGTATTACAGAAGTTTATGAACATTTGAGACAACATTTGAGTTAAAATGTGTACAACATAACATGTATTTTCAACATAAAACCTACTACTTTATTTTCGCTTGGAATTAATTTTCACCATTTTCGCTGAAATATACTGAATATACCATTTTTCCTATATTTCACATTCAACTCTGTGAAAATAAATTCTATACTAAACACCGAAAACGTCTTTTCAGCGAAAATTAATTCCAGCTAAAATAAAATATTCTACAGTATGCTATATACCCTGATGTAAAAATACAATACCTTCATCATCAGTCTGCACACCAATGTTACTCCATTTCAATTTTCGCTCGGATTCATTCACCTCATATCTCTTTGCGAGTCGTTTTATGTGACCATGAATTGAAGCCGCCTAGAACAAGACACAACAGTAGGTTACACCAGTCAGCTCTTAATACTTGACCAAACACTATTTAAAAGTCAAAAAAAAATCTTGCGGCTCTCGTTGTCAATGAGATCTCGGCGGTCGTTTTGTATCTTTGAAGGTCGATTCAGACAGTTCCCAGTAGAATACATCAATAAAGCGTAACCAGGTATATCACATGATTTTGTATAATATAGCAGTACACTTATTTGCTAAAAAAAACAGACACTAGATAGATGGATAGATGCACAGACAGATAGAGGAATGGATGAATGAATTGCAGCTCACCTGTCTTTTAGATGGTTTAGTTATGCTGCGTGGAGAAATTGATCTGCCGCTACTATCATGTCGTCTTCTTCTTCTTCTCAATGATCTGTCTAGTGTTCTACATGTTAAATCAGGTGATGTAGCCGTTCTCACTATTCTATCTCCCAAGCTATCCCCGGTCTCCTCACCACCGCTAGAGTATGAAATAATACAAGTAAGTGAGTGAGTTATACTGATCAACTTACCTCACCTCTGCTGTATGCATTGAAAAATATCAAAAGACAAAAACCATTGTCAAAATAAAGCCTTAACCAACTTTTAATTTATAAGTAAAAACAACTATTTTTGTACGTGACATAAAGACACACAGGTGACATAAAATGATGACAGATTCGGGTAAAATCTAATTTAAAACTCGTACCTGTCAGTGCTAATTTCTTCCCATCCATCTTCATCAAAATCAGAAAATAATGCACTCATGTGTTGTATGGACCTATTAAGTGCTCTTTGATGCTGTAATGAAAACAGTTTATGGTTACATTTGTATATGGCAGTAAATAAATCAAACAGTTTGCACTAATGACTTACAAGTCAAAAAATCTAACCCTAAATACACCTAATAAATGAAAGCAGGAAATCATACAGAGATATTGGATTCATGATTTTTAAAGTTCGTAATTGACGTGACACACAAATGTTAGCAAACAAGTTATAGATAGTGAACTCAAGATAAGAATTACCAGTACTCAGTATTAGGTGATTAGGTGATTTAGAAAACCCTAAACATGATAGGATCAAATTTAAAGAGAGATCTGAAGAGTATAGAATTCATACACATCAAAGAAGATTGGATGTGATCAGGGTTTGCGCTAGTGTCTTAGCAAGACAACTTTATTAGAGATTGGACCCCAGTTTGCCTGAAAAACTGGGTCCCTCTTCAATTATTGTAGTCTGGGAAGCAAAATATGGGGTTAACGCAATCCCTGGTGATGTGAGTAAATAATTGACATGAAACATTTTGTTTCTTCAGATTTCTGTGCATTCTGATCTGCCATATTAGAAACAAATTTTCAACAGAAACACATATAAACCAAAATACGCATATGTTGTATACTTAATCATTAAAATATTATTTATTTTTACCATAGAAAAATCTCTGTAATTTATGTATAGTGCATGCAATACTAATAACTAAAAGAAAATAAGTTATTGCTCCATTAGAAGTGAAAAAAATGCACTTTATTACGTGTGATTTTGGCCCAGAGCTTGGAGTCTAATCTGGATTCTTGCGGCCTTGACTTCAGCCTATTGCAGCTTGTTTATTTTGACTTATCACAGCATTGTTTGTGTGTGGTGTGTTACAAAATAACTATTATAAAACATGTTGAAAAAGCGGCATGCAATTTTAGCGAATTGAGGTAAAATGACGTAATAGCGAAATGTTGATTTAGCGAATCTCTCTTGTCATTGTTGATTTATTTGTTTGGCGGCCATTTTGAATTTATAATAAAGTCATTAGCGACATCTTGAATTAGCGAATCAGTTCTCTTGCTAAATTCACGAAAAAGAAATGCTTGCGAAAAAGACATGTTTTACAGTATTATAAAATACTGGTGGCAGTCTTGGACTACATTTATAAGATTGTTAAATAAATTGAATATCAACCATGGTGTAAAAGTACAAAAATAAATCAGTTTCGTAATCAGGACACTCTACTTACCTCTTTCACTGACTTGCATCTCCTAGCTTTGTTCCTGCTGAGTTTTCTTTGTCGTAATTTTTTTGTTAAATAATGATTTTCTTTTCTCACTTCTGTCACTTCACCATCTTTTTCTAATAATTCTTGCTTCAGCCGACTGATTTCATTTTTCAAATTCCTTTATGAGGTCAGAGGTCAATATGACGTAACGATCACTGATGGTGGTTTATGTTTTGTACTGAATGTACCGCAGTATGGTCATAATACATGTAGTATCATATAGGATTACCACAAATGAATGAATGTAAAACACACGGTATGACTTATATTGTCAGTGACCACAGTGGTATATTGTCAGATAACCATGGCAACACATCAACTTGCCCACATCCATAGCATAAATGTAGTTCATCCTACAGCTACCAAATTCAATGACACTTACAAAATAGATAGTAGTGCGCCCTCTAAGGCTGATTTCCTTCATTTTTACACTTACACTGTGAATTTTCTTTTCATCTAATTACAAATTCTTTAACTATCATAGGATGTTATTAAAGATCACTCTATGAATGTATGATTTTCTGTTGTGTCACAGCAAATATTAAATCAACTTAGAGGGCACATTGTTGATAAAATGATTTATGTTTATACATCATATAAATAAACGTAATTTACGGAGTTCTATCTTGAAATAACGTGACCTCATCAGACACTGCACTGTTATCAAGTCGATACATACATCAGGGGATAGAATAGTAATCCTTGTTACGGTACAAGTCAGTCAGTATTCCAGGTACACTATGTACTATACGGTATTCTTACACAAAACTATATTTTGTACTGACCTTTTTTCCTTGACAAGATTGTCTCTCTCATCGATCAAATCATTGCTCTCAGATTCCAACCTCTCCAATAACTTCTCCAAAGATTTTATCTACAAATATAGAAGTTCATTCTTCAATTACTGTTCTGTATAAAATAACTGCATGTACTGTGAAATACTTTATTTTCGCTTGGAATTAATTTTCGCTATTTTCGCTGCAGGAATGATTCAGTGAAAATGAAATGCAGCGAAAATACCTTTTTTTCTATATTTTACATTCAACTCGTCAAAAATCAGTGAAAAATAAATTCCATACAAAACACACAAAACGTCTTTCAGGGAAAATTAATTCCAGCTAAAATAAAGTATTTTACAGTAGGCTGACACAGCATCTATTATTTGTACCACGGAACACTTCTTTTACTGTATTTTATTTTTACTGTATAAAATAAACTTTTCTATATTGTATGTAATAGACGTTCACTGATTTCAGAGAATTTACACACAATATCAGCAAAAATTTATCATCACTGAAACTGATTTTACTTTAGAAGATACAATTGCTTTCACAGTATATTGAGGGATTGATATAATATCTTGGTAAATTTGTTACCTTTCTTTTTTGTTCTGATATTTCTTTTCTTTCGGTATCTTTAATTTTTCGACTTCTCTCGGCTTCCGCTAACTGGCCTTTCAGTTGTTCTTTTTCTTGCTGCAGACACCGCGTCAGTTCTCCCACGTGAGCCGCATCGGCCGCTGTTTGCACCTTTAACAAATCTAGTTCTTCCTGTAGGTTCATTCTAGAAATTCACAGATTTGCAGCGAAGACAGAAATTGAAGTTTTGTTCAATGTGAAATGTGGGGTCACTATTGTTCACACACAAAAACAAGGAATATATGAATAAAACAAAATAAAAGTTCATTTTGTTTAAAATTGCATGACAGATAACAACTATGTTTATTTGAGAGCCAACACAATACCATTGGTTATATAAAATAACAAAAGCACTTAAAAAAATGGCATGAGTAAATGAAACTCAGCTAATGGCCCAGGGTTTTTAGTCAATCTCAATTTAGCGGACAGATAGGATTCAACCTCAGAACATGCTATGATACTGTGATCTGTATATTACCAGTAAATGCATTCAGATCATGACACTATGATATGTGTTTCATTAGCCAGGGGCCATCGTCATAATATTCAGTCACAGTCTTATTACATCGTTCTAGAATACCGACCTTTCCATCAATAGATTTCTATTATGTCCCTTGAAGTACGCCAATTCATTCCATACGCTGTCACTGTCTTCTTGCTGTAGTTTACGAGGATCAGAACGATGCATTTTCTTCTTCTTTTTCCGTCCACTAGGAATGTAGAACAAGCATGGTAAAAATATCATTTCATTTTTTGTGTGTACTATAAATGACTGAAAACTAGTTGATGTTTTTGACAGCATGGAACAAAACAAATTAAACAAGACATTAATATCAGAATGACACAGTCCCAGTCGTGCAATATTTAAAAACAAAGTGGAAATGAGCCTGCCATTTTGAATCAGAACTTTGAATTAGAAACATGATGTATAACAACATATGTGTGAAGTTTGATTTGATTTGGTTCCAAAATGACAGAAATGATGGTTTTGATACATTTCAGCTTAAAAATGGCTGCCATTCGGCCACCTTGAATTGGCTTACGAAACAAATGCATATTGTAACAAAACATAATCAGTCAAGACATATCAGAGATATTACTTCGGAACAGCATTCATTAAAACAAAATGGCCACTAGTCGGCCATTTTAAATAAAAATGCACTTATGTCCCATAATGTCTAATGTAAAATAAGTTTGAACAAATTCTGTCTAAATATGACCAAGTTTCAATTTCGAAATGACATTATGAGGTCTTTGTTTAACCAATCAGATGTCAGGATACCACTGCATGACCAATCAAAATCATGTTTTCAACCAATAAGATGCCAGAGATCTGTCAATGTGACTATCAAAATATCAATCAGAAAATAGTAATGACAATACAATTAAATTAGAATAAAACAATTGTCTATTTCTCACCTGTTTTCTTCTTCATAAGTTTTAATTTGTTCTTTCAAAATATTATAATTATGTTGTAATGCACGTAGTCTCGCTAATCGCCTGTCATGAGCGGCTCGTAAATCCTCAATCTCTGCATTCTGTAATATTATACATCCATTGTCAGTAGAACTTAGAGACACAAGATATAATAACAATGAGTAGCTGTATGATGTGAGTCCCATGCAACATATACAACGCATTGTTTTGTTTAAATAAAATTCACATGCACTATGGGATACCTAGAACTAACACCGAGATGAAGAACGAGTCCAGTAGTTTTTGCTGCTGCTTCTCAACAGTCGCTCAAAACTGAATTGGTCTCATTCCAAAAGTCCTATTTCAAATATTTGGGGGGTGTTATACAGAACATAATAAAGCACAAACAAACATTGTACACATTTTAGAACTTATATAAATATCAATGTTAAAAATTAAAAAAATAAACTGCCTGAGTTACATTTAACCTAAAAGGTTGACCACTTTTTGAGACGATATTTACTGGTACGGTAATAGTGATATAAACATACTTTCAATTTGAGTAATTTCTCAAGATCATCCGTCTTTTTATCTGTACTGATACCAGCAGACCTTCTCTGTTTAGGACTACTAGTATGTAATGGCGCCCTCATTGGTGACAGTGATCTGGATCTATTGCCGGAGCTGAAATGTGAACTTCCTGTGTTCTCGACCATGGACTAAAATAAAAGTGAATAGCTATATTTACATATCAAATATATTTATTAAGAAATTGGAATATTTTAAAATTGAAGAGAGTTCCTTTCACATTGCATACTGTTTGTATTTTATCATTGCATTTTTACAATTTATTAGTTGATTGCTTGTTTTCCCATGATGCTTTGCATCAATTATAAAAGGGCCACCTGCTGTTCTAAAATGGCACAATCCATTAATAAAGAGGAGGTGCAAAAACATGCAAACAATGTGTGCAATTTATGAAATTTGAACACAATATGTTTATTTTTTTTTACATTTACTGTCTAGCCAAAGCAAAATAAGTTTCTTATTCTTCTGGTTGTATATATCTGGCTTAATATTCAAAATCTTATAACAGTATCAAATGAAATGCCAACCCAAATTATCTCACCCTTCTTTTACTTCTTGTTAGTGATAAATCATATTCCTTGTCAGGATCTTCTTTATCCATAGCATAAATCAATCTAATAACAAAATTCAAGGAAATTTATTTGTAGACAGATGTGGAACAAATTGATAAATTTCAGAGTTGGTGACACATCATGAAGATATCATGGAAGAAACAAAAAAGCAATGTATATGTCATGGTGTTTGGTTTCGGACGCAGTGGATGTCTAAGCATGTGATAGCAAACCAAAAAGTTTTCAAATTCAGAAATAGTGACAAAATGAAAATGTCTGCAATGTTTGGGGGATCACTGTCAATGTTTTAAGGACCACTGTCAAATGTTGACACTAGGTAGATGGTACAATGGCATCGCCTGAATCACACGGTTTCACTAAACCCAGCCATTCATAAACGGCCCACGAACCCGCGCGTGATCGTGTTAGGAAAAGCTGTATTTCACTGCAGTTAAATTGAGTCATTTGATTGGGCGCGCCAAGAAGCTGGCGCTACCAATCAACGTTGCTGTATCATAAATTTGAAGACAATGGCGGCGTGTAGGCTCTGCGCTGATTCACCAGGAGTCAAGAACAGAAGGTCTATGTTCGTCAACACGTTTCCAATTTTTGTTATTCCAATGTTGAAAATTATTTGTGGACAAGTAAATGAAAACCATAGAATGTTTAAATATTTGTGCAAACCGTGTTTTAGTAAACTGACAAAACTGACAAGACAGATAACATGTCGACTTGTCTGATCTGTTCTTCGCTGCAACTAACAAATCGTTTCCCTTAGAAACCGCACTACGTTTTTTCTTTTGATGGTCAGTAAGTTCGTCCACAGAGAAAAAGCTAGCAACACGTTGATTTACATATTCGACCGAACTTGCGCCACGATGTTACCAAGTAATATGTCCTTTCTATCGTGAGTTTTGATTGGGTAAATCAAATGTGCCCATCTTATAATCGTTTGTGGGCGTGCGACATACAGTAAATCGTGGTGAAATCTGCCAAGGGTTAATGTTGAGGCTTTGGCCGAATAAATGGTCCTTGGCTGGCGAAGATGATACAATGGCCTAACAATCAAGAAACTGATGATATCGCAGTCAAATCACAACAAGCGCAAGATTAGTAGAACCATATTCTGTAACGTGGCCACAGAAAATGCATTATTCACTGGGTTTGATTTATATTTTCGCTGATAAATATAGTTAAATCTTCGTATACATACAAAATATAAATATACCTCAATGGCAAAATCAAGAACTTAAAAATCCAGTGAATGACAAAACATAAAAAAAATGAGAAAAAAAAAGTTTCATAGTAAATAAAAAAAAAACATCTATCTATTTCTTTCTTTAGTGTTTCAATACAAGATAAGATAAATTCCGTCATATAACTACATTGTATGTACATCGGATTGACGGTCAGACTCGCTAATATGCAATTTTTAAACTATAATCTTCTTCAGTTCTATCCATTTTATTTATTATGTAATATTGATAATAAAGATACCTTGATTTTTCTTTCAATCTTTCTTTCAATAGATCAACCTCTGTTTGTAAACTTGTCATTTTGCATTCATTAATAACACACGACTCACAAACTTGAACTTCCTGAATAAAAAGAAGCGAGAAAAGACATTATTAAATGAGACCAGCAGAGTGCACCCCACAGGTATATTATTCACACAGACACATTCATCAAGATGTATGAAGTCATTACGTTACTGCATTAAACTTTATAAGTCTATTTCAATGCAAAATGAAGATTTACAATTGCACTATTTAAAAGTATACCATTGGTGGTCATGTGACCATACATACATGTTCATACCTATAAGTCCATGTTTTGTTTTTGCGCAGATTGTTTACCGCTATGGTTTACATCAAGAAGACGTATAATTGTAAACCCACAAGAAAACATATGATAACATAATTATACAACATAGAGATAAATAAATAAAATATAGCAGAATTTGACACAGATGCTGAATTAAAATGAATAATACTTTATAATACAAGACTCATTTCTGGTGAATTTGAGTTTTCTCCACAAGTCTTGCAATCTAAACTCACCGCATCCCAAGGTGCAAAATTGACTTGCATGCTGACATTCCGTGCTGGTATCGTGGAAAGATGACGTTCAGAATTATCAAAATCGGCTTTCAAAGCTTGATAGCGAGAATTCAGATCAGAATACATCTGAAAACAAAACAACAACAACATACATTTCATTGCTGGGGTGAAGCGCCCTCTAGTGTTAAGTATTTCGTTGTTGAAGGAATTGAATTGCAGAGAATGAAATTGAGGAAATTGTGCGGAAATGAAGAAATATATATGCACGTCAAAGTACTAGTAATGAGTTCAGGGATAGTGAGTTTAGTGAAAATTAATTTATGTAAAATATTCCCATGTGATATGAGAGGAGATCACATGCAGGCCCTGATTCCATGCATAACATACTTGTTTCGGCTATCCAATACTGTCACTCTACTACTTTGCAAATAAGTGGTAGCTTGCAAAATTTAAAATGACAAATGCCAACAACAACTCTGCTAACTCAGAGTGTACTTTAAATAGACAAAGTTATTTTCTGAGAGAGAATCTGCAAAGGTTTGTGGGTAATCAAAAGACGAGAAAAGCCAATCAGAAAAAGTGACAGGGCCCTCTGGAGGTGAAATATCTTATAAATTTTATAAAGTTATTTTCTGAGAGAGAATCTGCAAAGGTTTGTGGGAAATCAACAGACGAGAATAGCCAAATCAGAAAAAGTGACAGAGCCCTCTGGAGGTGAAATATCTTACCGACTGCAAAGAGGACGATTCCATAGTGTGGGCTTCTTCCTGGTTCTTCATGACTGAAAACACAACAAGTATTAGACACGCAGAAGAACACAGAAAGTTTCAACAAAATTTGGCTTAACAAAAAAAACATCTGCTAAATACATAATGAGACATAATACATAATGTTAAAAGTTGCTATTGAATAGGAGCCCTCACAGTTCATTTTTTTAAACAGTGGAACATCAGTACTTACTTTTCTGCGTATCAAACTGCAACGATTGAAGTTGTCGAATCAGATCAGCTTGCTGCGAAGCATGTTCACTGCACTGATTGTGAAGAGCATTAAGTTCATTCAGTTCTTTCCTGTAACACAAATCATATGAATCCCTGAAATACTACGTGGTGCTGTATCAAATCACGATCAAGTTAAAGGGTTGGTGGGGAGGACGAGGTAAAGGAGGTACAACCTATAGTTTTTGGAATAAAAACATCACATTAAATCTGCACATATCCAATCTGATAACAAAAAAACTGCTGCATACACTTTTAACTTGTCGTCGTCTTTGATGTACATTCCCTCAAACTATATGAATTATTTTCAGGTCTTGTTGGATTAACAACCAATCAGAATTCATGTTACAAACCAGCTTTTAGTAAAAAACACTTTTAGACCATTTTTTGAACTTCAAGATTCTGCGTTATGCGTGAAATCTAACGTAAAAACAGCCAAACAAATATTGTAGTGGCATCAAAACATTGTGTCGAATTCAACAAACGGGGAAGTTTTTTAAAGGTATTTTCACGTGTAATAACATGCTATACATAACTGATGATGGTCAATTTTAGGGTAGCTAGGGCTATTCAATATAATTTTCTCTTCTGAATAATTGGTCTTTCAAATTCAAAATTCAATTTGTGCGGCAGATGTACGGTCCACACTGTTCAAGCATAGAAGTAGCAAAAATCATTTGTCGGCTGATAAGCCTAGTCAGAGAAAAGCTACCTGAACATAATTAGTAATTAGGATAGTCAGATGGTCAGATGCGGTTAGAAGAAATGAATGCCGGCGACCGGAATTAAAAGCGATTGGTGTCTCATCTTCATTAAATTTCATTCAGATTGATGTAAAGACATTCAGGCAGCTTTCCTGAGTGGAACGTGGCGTGCTAAAAAAAGCAACCTGTAAGGCCAACAAAAATAAATGATTTGTTTCTGGTCAGTGAACACGTCAGTTCAAAAAGAGTTGCTCACAACTTTGGGGGGGGGTGAAAAATACAGTAAAAGTGACAGAGGGGAAGAAGAAAAAAAAATTTTACCATTTTTTTTTTTACCCCAACATAAGTTCTGATTGCTGATTGGTTGTCGGTTTTAGATGCAGGAGAGTCATGTTGAAGTGCATTTTGAGTGGATGGACATTGATGGTTTCGACAACCAACTAGGTACTTCTCAAATAATTATCAAAAAAAAAACATATTGCTGGAGAAAGATCCCAGGCACTGTCAAGTTGATAACCAAGAAAATGAAATAAAACAATGTTGGATAAAATTTAAAAACATCAAATGTTTAACCACAAATAAAATGTCCTGGGAAGAGGATAAATATATTTCAAAGTGTTAGATGAAGAGACGGAAAGTGAAATAAAACACGACTGGAAAAAGACTGAGAGTGCAACAGACGGTTCAGACGTGAAACTTAAAATGCTCAGTACATCTTGTTCTATTTTAATGTATACCTAAGATAGTGAATCTAGCTTGAGGCGAGAGAGATAATTTTAACCTCCCGATCCATTAAAATTATTAAAGAATATTTTAGAAGCCCACATATGTTGTTGATGTCAACTAACGTCTCCTAAGGATATTGTAGAAGTATCATAAATCACGTCAAATGAAACTTAATTGTGACGTGAACACGTACAAACACATCATCTTTTTATTGCATAATGCATTTTTGTCTATCATAATAATAATTTTTTATTTTCAGGATATCACTATGACACTCAAATTGTGAACTCTTGAAAGTGATGTGGAATTTTGCGAGATGCGATGATCTCGTCATGGAGTAAATCATCACTTCTCAACGTTGATGAGTATTATGGGATACATGCAGAATGTAATAGAAAATACTGTGAAAAATAACTATTCATCCTGGTACAAGTAAGTAGCAAATTTAATGGAAAACATTGTTATTGGAAAGTTATTTTATCCAAATTGAAGTTTTGTATTACTGATTACTGAAGGAAAAGTATTGAAATTATTGTTGCTATGTCTGTGTGTCTGTCACTCTTATCAGGATTGAAATAATTTGAATTTAAAAAGTTTCATGTTCATTGAACTGGTTGAGAAATAAAATTGCCTAATCCAATTGATAATGAACCTGTTCCTGGCAAGATAAATTATGACTTATTATATGAAATAAAATATTTTAATTCTCGGAACATCATCACTTCATAAGTCTTAAGAACTATGAAAACAATTTTCTAGACATTGGCAACTTGGAACTACCCCATTCAGTCAGTTAGTTAAAATTTGATCTTTTTTCCTATGTTCACAGAGAAAGGCAATTTGTATATTCACCTGTCACAGCTAATATCTGCTTGCTTGAGACAGGCAGGCCTTATTTATGATCCCTGAACAGGACATCCCACCCATGAACATTTTTTTAATACAAGCCTGTGCATGACTGAAACAGGTCACACATCCTGGTACCTAAAGGTCACACATCCTGGTACTTTCTGAAGGGCCAAATTCAATAAAAATTTCTCATTTATTCCAAAAGCAAGCAGTTGTTTTTGAAATTAAAAACATCAACATATTACATTAGAAATAGATATTACAGTGCAACAATATCCCCCCAAAAGTACCAGGATGTGTGAACTTCACGGGTCATGCAAGAAACTTATTATATAATGACAGCGACAAAATTCAATACAGTTTTCTGATGCTAACTTTTCGTGATATTTACCAATCAATTTTAGAATCCGTTAAGGGACGACGTCAAAAGATCAATGTCGGATAAAAAACTTATTTCCTTTAGTTTAGGGGTGGGGGGGTTTTGATCTCAA